TTGACTACTAATATATATACAACATTCAGTTTTTACTTGTTTTTTTCCTACATCTCGTGTAAATGGTTACTCGCAAAGAAATTTTCCTTCAATGTGCCTACATTTATATTTCATGTAGCACATAGTCGGTCATGACTCACACTAGTATTATACAATGTTTGGGAAATATCCCTTATTGTTAGTTTTTTTATTATTTTGAGTGAAGTCTGTTGACTCTGTACTATAACTACAGCGCAATGGGCCCCCGGTTCCATTCACTTGGTCTGATATGTGCATAAATGTGTGACAAGAACATTCTTCAAGCAAATAGTTTATCAAGAATCCCAGTAAAGTTGAAAGTACAAAACCAGTAGACAATTTGGTGTATTATTTTGGGATGTAATTTTTTTGTAAATGTATATCTGTGAACTTCACTTTAAATTTGTAATCAAGACTTTTAATATTGTTCATAAAATTGAAACAGCATACATTATTTAGTACAATATTTGATTTGAATAATTTTTGAACCAGATTTTGTCGTCTTGTATGGTCTTAAAATCTATATTCAAATTCAATATATATTCTGGTATGTTGGGGCTTTAAAGGGAGAATTCAAAACTGAATGAACCAAGATATGGACTGTACTCAATTTTTTTCAGAAACACAACATATCTCTTGGAGAGAAAGCATTTAAATAGTGGTGGTGGTAATTATACAAAATATCTGTGATTTCAAATTAAACTTAAGGTGTCACAAAGTACATACAGTTAAGATAGAAATTTTTTGATTTTTTATATAAGGTTTGAAAATATCTTCTTAAATGGTTCGTTTCAAAACTGAATTCTAGTAATTTTTCTATAGATGTTATAGAGGGTAGTACTAATGTAAATATGATAGCTGGGTGTAGATTAACCCTGGTAAGACACAGATGTTTTTAGACCTACCAACAAATTAGAGGTCATGTTTCATTTGACTCTTGTTAACTCATACTTTAAATAAAAACAAATGTGGATAGAGAAAAGCATACATCCATAACATTCAAAATACACAATATGTGAACACTCAAGTACATGCAAATTATTACTCAATTTCACAAAACAATTTATGGCATTTACCATTTATTTAGCTGTTTCTTTTGTCACTGTTGTGTGCGATTTGGAGAGGAAAATACTGATTGGTACAGAGATAATGCCACAATGATGAAACTGAATGCCAATAAAATTTGACAAAACAAACAAAACATTAAATTTGAAATATTACTAGTCTAAATATTGGTATGAATATGCCACCATTTTGAACTTTTGTATTTGACAGAACAAAAAGTGAAACAAAAAAATCAGGAATGGTTTGACATACTGTAGAAAATTATTTTAGTTAAAACAAGCCAACAGTGTGGCTGATGTCCCCCGCCAAAATCTGTAAATAAATAGATGACACATATTGATTAATTGCACATTTTTTTTTTCAAAAGTATTGAGCAATCTAACTGATCATCTATACTTAGTCTAAGCATAAAATGTTCATGATCAAAGTACCTGGTAGTGAAACTATACACTAAGTCTGCATTTTGGTACGCAGTTCTCCTGCTAGGACTATTCAAATCAAAATCTTGTGTATATAAAAATCTTTAATTCCATCTTACTGACTACTGTGTTATATACATGTAACTCTAAATAAGAATTAGAAAATATGTTGTCACATTGGTGCAATATTTACCCGTGCGTAAGTGCGATTGAAAGAGTAAACAATGATCAAAGACCAGCATATGTTGCAGACACACTTTCCTTATATTATTTCAATGGACTTTTTAATTAGTAATATAAGACGAAACTCCATTTATTTAATATTTAAGAATGTTTTTCATTAATTATATTCCAAACATTCAATTTAAAAATATTTTAATGAATGGAATATGAGAGCACATGGTTTCTAAAAAATCTTAACAGAATTGGTTTTTGTAATTAGCATGAATTTGATGTTATCCATGATAAAGAAAATTATTCATATTTACAAGAAATAAATCATACACAAAATTACTTTCTGAGACTTTTATTATGTATTCGCTGATTTTTACTGGAATCAAAAATATGTGCTTAAATGGGGACCAAATATTTGACTAATGAAAATGGCGTGCGGTTGATGACATAATATTAGGCCAGAATTAGCAGAATTAATGAAAAATCTGGAGAGTGGAACGATTCCAACATAGAGAAATATTTGGTTCATGTCAACTATGAAGAAAGTCAGAATGGTGCAGCATTACCGCTACATAAACTTCTCTGAAGTATTAAAACAACATGGCTTTTCAAATATGTCTAGTAGTCATTCTGAAAAATAAACATGGCGCCCTCCATGTGAAAGAGTATCAAAAAACAAACTAGTTGTACCTTATAAACTGCTCCTTATTCACTTGATGACGGCAAAGAATGCAGTATTGATAACTTCATTAAAGCCAAGAATTTCAACAGGACAGGCATACAACTAATTCAATTTTTCTCAAACAGTCGTTTATGTGGACCATATTGGCTAAAAGTATTTATATGCCAGGTTCATGACAGAATATTCATCAATCAAAGCTAAACCATCGCTAATGTCTTTTTGGCATTAATTTATTTTTTTTATCATGATTTTCTCAAAACATTCACCAACGGTATAAAATCAAAAACAAGCAGAAATAGATTAGTTCATAAATTAATGTTCTTTTCCGAAAACACATGCAATTATTTAATGTACTGAACTAATTATTTAGATCCTATTTTTCTAAAACCAATTTCTGATCACTCTAGGGAATAAAATTATATTTTTGATTGGAATATTATCTATGTTATCTTTTTCAATAATGATTTACAGATGTAAGAATCAACCTATCAATGATATAGAATATGACAGTGCATATATGTTGTTTTACCCACTCTTTAGACAATCTCACAATATTTACTAATAATTAATAAACATGTTTCAAATGAAATAAGTGATTATCTCAATTCACTGTTGTTCTTCAGTGCTGCTTGTACATGTAGGTGTCAAGAAACTTAAATGTCAATAAAAGAAAATGTAATTAAAAAAGATCTTTATTTCCTTCCGACTTAGATACTCTAGGTGAGATACAACGACCGGCCGATACTTCTCTCTGTTTTGAAGTCTGATTTGAGCCAGTGTCATTGGCTAAAACCATTATTATCAAAGAAAAGCATCTTTTCACTTCCTAAAGTCAGATCAGATTAATACAAACTTCATAAAGATGTTAAGACTCTAATTCTATTGTAGTATAAATGACATAATATAAAAAAGAAATAGAAAGTATAGTGTAATTAGACCCAGTACAGACCACCTAATTGGCTGATTTTTTATTTCTACTTCTAGTGACAAGTGAATTATTAAAATAAACAAGCCAAAAGTGAGGCTGATGTCCCCTGCAGAAATCCCAAAATAAATAGATGACACATATTCATTAATCATACAATTATTTTTTTCAAAAGTATCGAACAATCAAACTGTACACTAAGTTTCATCACTCTCTACCAGATAGAAATCAAGATTATCTTGTCCCAAAGCATCGACCAATGCAATTGCTTAGCTCTGCTTAGCTTTAGCTCGAAATGTAAATCATTGAACTCAGTCAAGACATTCACCTAATGAACATCTACATCAAGTTTAAACATATTACCTTAATTAAAAGCAGAGTTGTTATGTTCCAAAGTCTTGACCAATCAAATTGCTTATCGCTCCTCAGCAGAAAATTCTCACTATCGAATTTAGTCAAGGTAATAATATAATGAATCTATATTCAGAGTTTCATCGCTCTCTCTTCATTATAACCAAAGTTATCGTGCCCCAAAGCATCAACTAATCAGATTGCTTATCTCTGCTTACCGTAAGCAGACAATGTTCATCATCGAACTCCATCAAGGCATTCACCTAATGAACACCTACACCAAGTTTGAACATTCTACCTCAAATAGGACAGTTATTGTGTTCCAAAGTCTCGGCCAATTAAATTGCTTATCGCTCTGCTTACCCTGAGCAGAAAATGCTAATTGTCGACCTTAGTCAAGGTATTGATACTATACACCAAGTTTCATCACTCTCACTTAATTAGAACTAAAGTTATCGGGTCCCAAAGCATTTACCAATCAAAATGCTGATCTCTGCTTACCCTAACCAGAAAATGCTCAACTTCAAACTCCATCGAGGCATTGATCTAATAAACACCTATACCAAGTTTGAACATTCTAGCTCAATTAGAAGGAGAGTTATTGTGTCCCAAAAAGTGTAACGAATGGACGACAGACAAACCCATTTTAATAGTCCCCTGCTTTCTTCGAAACGCAGGAGACAAAAAATATACATGTTAGTTACACAATGACCTACAGTCATTACTCTCTCTGTCTCTAAATTGCTATGTCGATTAGCCAAAATATTGTTACTAAAAAAAGTAATGCTCTTGAACGTTTGAAAACCAGTGAAGGTCATTTGCCTGGTTGTTGCAACTACTTCAGGATGTCAAAATAGTTTTCCCCCACTGATCGCTGTATCAATGTTCTCTTGAAATGTTGCAAGAATAACCCAATTCAAGTAAGAGAGAGAGAGAGAGAAATGGGGTTTAATGTCCACTCGACACAAACTAGGTCATTTCAGGACTAACATATATTTCAATTTTATTTTAATAATTCGCTTGGGTGTGTGGGTCTTTAGCAGTGGGAGAAAACTGGATGACCTGGAGAAAACCCACAAGGTTGGACAGGTGGGTCGACCCTACTCCTTGTCACATACAACCGGGGAATGGAATGACTCAATGACTGAACTTATGATCTAACGAGCACGCATTTTCCATTCGGCCACCCAACTCCCTAACTACATGAATTGTTTTAATCTTCTAAATTATTATATAAAAAGACACTTTTCAATATTTTCAGTCCTTTTTTTTGGATTTAAACAAATCAAGTGTTTGTTGATTTTCAAGAGCACTGCATCTTTAACAGCTTAGCCAATTGAGGCATTATCAATATACTGGTACTTACCTCAAATTCCTTTGGGTCAAACATATTTGTTAAAATGACAACTTTTTCATGTTTTAATCTGACGTCTAGTGGTTTCTCTAATTTCCATTCAAATAATCTAAAATGAAATATAAAAAACAGATTATCTATTAGTAACAGCATTTTGTCTATGCTAAGGGAGATAACTACATTCTAATATGTACAGTAAATTATATATATATATATTATATACTCTTCAAAAAAAGTAGGAGATATTGAAATGCAAATACCTATACAGGTTGTGATATGATAAATAGTCATGGACACTTGACATGCTTTGAGAGTATGTTCACAGATGAAGAACTTATCGCCCTAACAGAACCACTGAGCTGCACATGCGACACACAATAGCGCCATGCACGTGGGAGGGGTTCATTGTCAAATTAGACATTTCAAGGAAAACTTGACGAAAACTGCCGTGTGCTGGTTTATCCTATCCATGTTTGCTTTCCTATCGGTTCTTGCATAAGATTTACTGTTTAGCGTATCTTTGCTTTAGTGTGTTACGTTTAATTTGCAATGAGACGTCTTCAACATGATGAACGTCTACGTGCTATTGGCCAGCCATGAGTCCTGACCTTTCCCCTATAGAGCATGTCTGGGACATGATCAGAAGATGTGTTCGTCGACATCAACATCAACCGACAACACTGCAAGAATTGGCCGTGGCACTGCAAGAGGAGTGGGTCAGATTGCCCCAAATCGTGATTGGACGGTTGATTAGGAACATGCTACGATGAATTGCTGAATGTCTGAGGGTTGGTGGAACAATTACTCACCATTAAGACAAAGATCAAAAACGTCCATTTTCACTTTTGACAATGTATCTCTTTGCGAGTGAAATGGGGCTGTCAGATAAGTCACCCATATGAACTGTTTATGTTCATGTGTAGGCAATTGGCCTGTTATTAACATACACTGGTTACCTCTAATAAAAACAGCAGTGCATTTCCGCAGTTTTGTATTGTTTCTGAATATCCCCTACTTTTTTTGAAGAGTATATGATCACTGCATTTAGTGTATAATGTTAGTTTTGGTACTAAACTTAACAATCAAGAACCAATGATTTAGAAGTTAGAACTATATGTCATGGTCACTCCAGGCTTGCAATAAAACACTTTTAGAATATTATCATATTTCCTATGATTAAATTTTCACACACAACAACAGCAGAATTTAGTTTGATATGAAAATCCCACATACTTTTCTTGATTTTCTCTCATTTTTCTCTTTTGTTTATTGCTTAATTTTTTCTTCTTTTTTGCAGGATCAAAGCTTCCTTTCATTTCAAACTTTGCCTTTTCTACACGAACAGTACTACCAGTACCACGCATATCTAATCCATCTAACAGTTTTAAACACAGGTCAACAGATTCTTTCTATTTATAAAAAGAAACAGAACATTTTTAAAAATTAGAAATCAGACAAAACCAAGTTTTGGTAAGAATTATTAAGATCCACCTTATTATAAATATTAAATATCCCAAAAACTAGATAATATTAATATATAAATAAATTAAATGCATCCATTTCCATGAAACTATCTTTTTTTCTTTCTAAGCTGAATAATAATAAAACATAGAGCCCAAAATGATGTCTAACTGACATATTTAGAATTAAACACCTATATTACTATTAGCATTTACAAATGTGAACTCCAATAACTATATTGTCTTTAACTTTAAACACTTTTATTATGCCATTTCTCTCTCCTAAACCACTCTCTTCACTCCCGCCATATTTTCAACTCTTGGTCCCCACTTCCTCCCGGACATGCGTACACCTCTCTAGCAGACGACATACACACAAACAGTTATACATGTAAACAATACAGTTGACAAGGTTAACAATAAATATGGAAAATTATTACTGGTGCATTGAGGCTTTAATCAAATTTAAAGATTATATTAGAATTGAGACCATTAATTACCTTTATATAACAACATAGTCCGTCTCCCTTTACATTGCCTTCTGAATCTTTATATAATTTAGTTTTAGGTTTCTTGGTAAAAGGGTCAAACATAATAAGACCGTATTTTGCCATTAATTCTTGAAACTCTTCATCTGTGGTATCAGTGGGTAGACCACTGACATAAACATGGCAGCTTTCTTCTGTTTGATGGTCAAACCATGCAGCTAAAACAAATACATATTTCAAAAACATTATTAACATGTATAGATGAATGTAAACTGTTTCAGGTAAGAAGAAGTCAAAATGTGTAAAGCCAAAATATTATTTGTTAAGTAGTGATCAGTTTGAATTGAAATGAACTTGGGATTAATGTCCTACTTTTCTGCACTGATCAGTTTGAGTGTTTATCATTTCAAAAATTGAAAATGGTGAACAATAACCTTACTATAATATTCTAGACTTATATTCTTACAAAAAAAATGTAAAGTAATCTCTGTCACCTGTCTATACAGCTCATTAATTAAAGATATTGTTGATATACATTTTTCACCAATGATATGTCTTATTTGTACATTAGGTATTTGCTTGAAAATGACTTGTGATCTTGGTGAAACGTATTATAAACCAAGCGATTGTATCCATACCAAGTGTTCTAGTATTATATAATATTCTTATGTAATTTAAAGGAGCCAAACATCTTTTATTTTGGTAAAAACAAAGTAATGAATAGGGTTCATCTGATGTATTATTTCAATTAGTAATGCATCCTTGGTATCCCCAGTGGTCCCATTCCAGTTCTCTCCACTATACCCTGGGTTAATCCATGGGGTTTCCACGATTTCAAATTATCTACCCTGGACTTAATTGTAGCTAAACTCTACGAACCAATCAAAAAACAGTTTACAAAAATGTCTTACTAATGAGGTAGCCTTCTTTTTGCGTTCATTTTTATAAGGGTAGATAACCAAATTCATGTCCATTTATTTACTGAATGATTTATGTAAATAATGTATATATTTCTAATTCATTTATATTTAATTCTATTATCAAAATCTGGAGTATGTTTCGCTGATTTTAAATATGTATAACATTTATATTTTTGAATTTTGGTATTATTATCACTATTTGTTCTTTGTCTGAAATCTTTCATTCTGTTATATTTATATTATTGAACTTATACTTGGCAATACTTGGTAGCAAACCTTAAAGCACCAGGTAATAGTAGTAAATTCTCAATAAATGAAATGAAATGGGGTTTAACATCATACTGTTCTGCTCCTAAACTGGGCTAATGAAGACGGGCATACGCCATACAGTGTGCTATGAGGGAAATTTTGCCTGGGCAGTGGCGCTACAGCCTACTCTTATATCAAATTCCAACTACCAAGGGATCTTTTACGTGCACGCCAATATGTACATGGGACCTTGGTTTTCCGTCCCATCCGAACGACTAGATAGCTGTCCTTGTCAGGCCCTCCGTCCTGCATCACTGACAAGGGGAAACCACGTTGGAAAATCTGGATAAACTTCCTCGGCCAATGCAGGGATCAAACACCCGACCTCCAGGCTAGCGAGCCAGCGTCTTACCCACTTAGCCACGTGATCCCAAATTCTCAATAAAACTCCTGAACCTACATATATATAAAAATTGTAATTTGTTGTTAATAAATATGCATTTTGTACTATTTAGACTTCTTTCATAAGGCTACCTTCTGGCTAATTCCTAACTATGTCTCTTGAAGTGGAGCCTTTGCATTTTGTTTACTTTACCTAATAAGAGTAATTTCTCTACGATTTATGGGACTGGTCGATAAAAATAATACGATCGTGTACTCCATCTCAAAAATTAACCCAGGGGTTCGTGGAGTGGAACAGAATGAGACCACTGGGATACCGGGATGTTAGTAATGGAACAAGACCTATGTAATTAAATTTTCATTTTTAAAATATTATGTGGAAGTCAATTTGTTAACTAGTTTTTGTTTTGTTATTGGCTATTGTGTCAACAGTTAAACACAATATCAGTTATCGGTATATATATACAATGACTACATTTACAGAATTCAAATTTACAATTACAGTACAGGGCTAATTTTGGAACTAGAATCGCCGAACACGGCGGAAAAACACTGAGTTAAATGGGATGTCCTTGGCGAATCGGCAATCGCTGGCACTCGCTAACCTGCCAAACCACGACGAATCACCGAGTTTCGCGGTGTATCACAGGGTTTTGCGGTGGAGCATGGTAAATCGCTTGCGTGCCAATATTGTCTCGATTATAGCATGTTGAAGAAAATTGTACTTTATTTATGTTGAATACATGTATGTTTATCTTGAGCGAGGAATGAGGGTCAAACTAATATTGTCTGCAATAAATTTTAATGCTGCCGTGAAAACGTGATATGTAGGCTGGTTTGAATAATAACCCAAAGTTCACCGGCAATCTATTTCGGTTAAAATTTTGAACGTACATGTATTATGTGGCGTTATATATGTATGCGCATATTGAACAACTTAAAATTTCTTAAACCTATCATTTGGTCTTCGTCATAACTTCCACATTGTGGCAAGCAGATGTAATCCATCAATAATTGGCTGCTATCAAATCCAAATTTTAAATTATATACGATGAGCTTTTACACATTACTTCATTACTCGCAGATTCAGATAATCTAAATTAACAATCCATAAAGCACAGTGCCATACATTATAAATCACTCGACAATACACAAAACAGTGAATCACATAGTCAAAAAACGCGCCAAAACATTGAGTTGTTGGTGTCAACATGGGACTATATTCTAACACTGTGATAATTTGCAAAAAGTATTTAACAAATCTTGACCATTACCAGTATATGATAAATGTATTATGACGTATGACGCATTAAAAGTTGTAAAAGAAAGTCTATACGCAAGTTTTGTGATTGATACTGCCGAATAAATGTGCATATGTATTTTGAAATTACTATGAGTACAAATTATCGGCAAATGTTCCTTGATTCAAATTACTCCGATTTATGTCATATAACACAAATGTTAATATTTCTCAACTACCAAGCTAACAAAGGATTTTGATAAATCTGCAGGAAGCCATTTCACTCTATAAGGCTGACCAATTAAGTTAATTAATACAATGTAATCGTCTTCTATCGTACACAATATGAATGTTAAGCAAGCTATTCTATATAAAAACATAGTCTGCCTCCCTAAGAAAACATCTTTTTCATAGTACCGGTAATAATGAGTAAATATAATTTTAACACAAACTGTATTATTTCATAATTTGTTAAAAATTGTAGGACTGGATCACATGGCATAGTGTTTTATTAATTAAAAATAGATAAATTAAATACGATAGCCTTTAAATTAATACTACATTACACTCTTCGTTTAAACAAACAATTCACATCAAACATTTCCATGTATCATAAATCATGGGGACCGATACGGCACGTTCCATATTAATCAAGAGTAATTATAATTAAATATAAACTTTATAATTTCATAATTTTTTTCAAATGTTAGGGCTTGGTCATCTTTCACTAATACATCACAATGTTCCCTTAGATTATATTTGAGTTAGTCTCTAAAATAAAATAAGCTTCGTTTAAGGCAATGAAAATTTTCAAGGTCATCGAGGCATGCAGATTTACTGTGTTGTGAGTAATATATAGTCTACAAATTTGGGGACTTATTTGATATATATTCATCCGCCAAGTGAACAGGTTTTATACTAGTAGAATTTCACAATCACACAATGTGCAGGCTTCGAAATTAGCGGACGCACAGACACAAAAAGCGGGCTAAAATATGAAAATAGCGTGTTAAATTTGAACTGTAAGGCAAAGATTTGCGTCTACAGTAATTTAGTTTAAAAAGCAAATTTTAAAACTTGAGTTTTTCTATAGCTTAATTCTCTGAAAAGGTTGAAAACATTTAAGATAAAATTCACAAAAGACCCCATTTTGATGTGTATAGACTCACTTTCCTTTAACAAACTCTGAGTCTCAATGAAAAGACCGGATATAAACGGCCACGCGTAACTTAACCAATGAAATAACAATACGGCACCTTCCCAACAAATAATATATGCAAAACTCAGACCATGTAATATTATTGACCAATCATGTTATCCCTAACTGTATTGACCCTAAGATCGCGAACGGCTATTTTACATGGTTTACCCAGCTGTAACTGAAATACTACTGAAATACACATTTGTGAACAAGTGGTGGTTAAATACACAAATATCCAAACGATCAAATTCTGTTCCAATACTTCCATTTGGAACCAGGCAGAAAAATCTTGTATTACTTTTCGATTATTTGCGTGATTACAACTACTGAAAGTTTTTGCTTGTTACACTTTGTTTTTGCTTCTAATTTTAAAAATAACAAGCAAAAAATTGCTTCTGGTATTGAAAATAATATTTGAACCCTGCATTACTTCTAGGGTATAAACGGATATAGACTTCCTTAATTTCGGCAAAACAGGTACATTGTAGTTTATGTGTTCATTTAGATCTATTGCTGATTATAAAATATTCAAACTTTCCTTCAGTGGAAATGTTTTAAGTTGGTCCTTTACCTAGGAAAGTAGAACTTACAAATGCCGTAAAAAGACTTTCACAGCCTGGAGAGAGAGAGAGAAATGGGGTTTAACGTCCACTCGACACAAACTAGGTCATTTCGGGACTAACATATGGTTTAATTTTATTTACATAATTCGCTTGTGCGTAGGGGTCTTTAGCAGTGGGAGGAAACCGGAGGCCCCGGAGAAAACCCACAAGGTTGGACAGGTGACCCTACTACTTGCCACGTACAACCGGGGATTCGAAACCACGCCAGTCGACTCAATGACAGACTTTATGATACAGCGCGCGCACGCTAACCATTCAGTCATCCAACCCCCCTTCACAGCCTGGAAAATACAAATAAGTGAAATGCTTCGAGAAACAAATACACCAAAGAAAAATTTGATGAAATGTTAGCTATTTCCTAAAATATTCTGTAATACTTTGAGAAATAACAACACTAATGTTACTGAATAAAAGCCGGGAAAAGTTGATGAAAGCATGGCGAGACACGGCGGATTCTTAGCGAAACACGGTGGATTCCAAGCAAAACTTAGCGAAAACTCACCGTGAATCAAGCGAAAATTCACTGCAGAATCAAGCAAAAATTCTCCGAGAAATCTTAGTGATTTTATTCGCCGCGATGGCGCGATTTCGGTCCAAAAACGTTAGGACAAACTGTACAAAGACTTACGTTCTTCTTTGTCTGGGGGTGGTTTTCTTTTCTCTCCAGCTTTTAATTTCTTCAGTTCTTTTTTATTTATCTTTTTGGGTGGCTGATTAGTTCCTGGCACTGATACATCTCCATCCTGGAAATTCTTGTAATATTCTGCATATTCTTCACCATAATAATAAGCATAATATTCTGCATAGTCTTTAAATTCTTTGCCAGTTTCAGGATTTATATTAGAGGGAGGGTTTTCAGCAGATTCTTCTCCTGTGGCACTGTTTTCTCCCTCCTGTGTTTCTGAGTTGTAAGTGTAACCATAGTAACTATAATAATCTTTACAATATTGTTCATATTTTTTAATTGCCTCTGGATCAGAATCAGCAGGTGGTGTAGGACTACTCTCATTTTCACCATCAGCAGTTTCTGTTGTTGTATTATTGATTCCATAATTCATCTGATACTTTGCTATAAAATCATCATCAATCTGAAGAGACATAAATTAAGAAATTAATTAGTATGTCGACGAAATATACATATATGTACCCATCATACCACATACACTGTACTAAAATTTGAGAGGAATATATGAGAGGACAGCAGTACAGACTGAGAATACTCTGTCACCAAAAGAAACCTATCTTGTCCATGGTATCTCTAACTAATAGAAGCTTATTGGATGATCTTGTAATAGGCTGTAATGGTTTGGGTTTAAGGAGATCTTTACGATAGGAAGAAGCAGAAGAATTTTTTGAAAAATATTTATAAGTTTATAGCAGAATTTTGAAAACAGTTGTCTTATTGATAGGTAATCAGTGAAGACATTCAAGACTATAGTTATTTGTTCAAAAGGATTGACTATTAATTAATATACAAGACATTGGTGAATTACAATATTCCAATCATTTACATATATGATCCATCTTAACAACTGAAGTATGTATGGCATAAAATTAAGAGGAAAAACTCCAGAAAGTACAGAGGCATATCTGAAAAGTCAAAGTTTCACTATAAATTATAAAGTATAGCTGTTATGTGATTTATTATTTATTTTCTGTGGTAACTATCCAACCTACAGTCGTGCCAAAAATTACAAAATACCTTAGGAAACCAAGCTTTCTTCTCCAAATCCCACTCAAAGACAGTACCATCTTTATCTGTATATGTTTGTTGACCTTCTTCCTTACGTTTTGCAAATTCTTCTTGTTGAATCTGTTCTTCAAAATCTTGATCAGACATATTTCTATTTCTGTAAAATGTGGGAGAGAAAAGAATTAGAAATATAATAATGTACGCCTATTGTATGCCTACATATTAAAGATCGCCGGAAAAGCTTCATATCCTTTCCATAAGTTGAGATTTACCTGTGGCAGGTAACAATGACATACGGGGTCGTGTTATACTTATGGAAAGGACATGTTGACATAATTCCTTGCATTATTTAAAAAAATTATGAAGCTTTTCCGGTGACCTTTAATGTAAATTGTAAATGTATACTAACAAGTGATTGCCATGCAAGATACACGTACGCCCAAATTTTGCAAGAGATGGCCAGAGAACAAGTAAAATCGATAGGGCGCATTCTCTCATTGAATTTAGGTGCGTCAAAAATAGCGCTCACCAAATCTGATAAGAAATCTACATACCGGTATGTTCATGGCAAAAAGCTTGTCATATCATACACTCCAAATCCAGTACAATCAGATGCAATCTGCGAGTCCAAATTCTGGAGTGTCAAGTACAATAGCCATGATAATCAATAAAGTCTTGATTGTAAGTCCTTTCATCGGCAGTCTCCGCAGATATTTTTTTTTTTTTTAAACAATATTTTATTCACGGGATACCTAAAACATGCCATTGGCTTATATAAATCAGCTTGCCAAAAGCAAGATATATAAATGATTATAGTCTACATACATAAGTGTTAAATTACAACGCTTATACAGGTATTTAAGGGGATTGTCTCAACCACCCAATATATAAGCCATCCAGTACAGTGGTCAAGACAGTTGTTTTGACTTGCGATGTGAATCTAAATACATGTATAACATTTGAAGCAAGAAACAGGCCCATCAATCCGTCTTTAAAGTTACATTCCTGCGTACAAACTGGGTGATTTAATGGTATATACTAAAAACATATTCAAACTAATTAATTTGTCATAATTTTGCTTCAAATCCTTCTCAAACATTGTAATTGCGAAGGAATGCCCTGCTATAAAAACTCGATCAAACCAGGTCATGTTTACGTCACGTGACTTACCTCTCTTGGAAGTCAGAGGAGAATTCATTGCATACATAAGACGATGTTGTCTTTAATCGCTTACTATTTATTACAAATATTGAATCCTAATTAAATTCTCGGATCATCCACTACCTGCGTCTTTTTCTGTCATTTTTATCTCCGAAAGTGTTCTACTAACTCTTCATAAAGTTTATCAACTTGTACATCAAGCGCTCAATGTTCGCGTGTGACCTTTGACATCACACGTGCAGAAATTCCTAATCGTCAGGCTGTCGATTAGGGGAACCCTTACATTTTTGTCCTGTATACGCTCCATGGGTGTTTTTCGGGGAATCCAGTATTTTTCTAGTAAGATTGGATATCTCTACTTTACATATATACCAAAACTGCCATACTTTTATTGGAAATAACCACCCGATAAATACTTTTCTGGGAACCCATCTTTAAGCTAAGTGGCTAAAAGGTTTGCGGTCATCATTATTCACCCTTAAAGACCACATAAGATGAAAAATCTAAATTGCGTGTACGTGTAGCCAATGGTTACTACATCCACTTTAAGGCAATCTGATTAAAATTAATTCGGCTATTAACGTTTAAGTATCCGACATGCCAAAACGCTTTTCAATTTTTCAATTACGACCTTAATCTGATTGAATGACAGAGGTTCACCAGGCGAATTACAAAGAGAATGACAGAGGTTCACCAGAGGAATGACAAATAGAATGATAGAGCATCAGAAGACGAATGATAAGGGAATGATAGAGCATCAGAAGAGGAATGATAAGGGAATGACTGAGGTTCACCAGAGGTAAGGCTGTGCAAAAATATCGATATAATCGATAATCGGTAGAAGTTATTTAGCAATACGATAATCGATATTGAAATTCAAATATCGATATATTTACCTTCTGACGGCAAGATACTGTCACTTTCACATGACTGAACTTGCCGTAGTCTGGCATTAGCAGATGAATGAATGAATACACAACGTCAACACAACAACTATTTCCCCCCTCTGTTTACAAACTGGCACATTTTAAATATATATTATTGTAAAAAACTAAATTTTAAGATTAAATACATTATTTTAATATTTTCGTTGTTTTTGTTGTTATTACTAGTTGAAACTAAAATAGGTCACGCACTTTGTGAACAATGACAATCGCATGTGATATAGAATTATCTCCCTTCTTTATTCTTGATTGATTTGTAGAGAAATCGTCTGCTTTCACGATAAAACTAATTGTATTATTAATGATCAACTCCGCTTTTATTACTAAATCATGTCAGATACAGCCCATACAAAACACGTTTTTGACTTCCAGGGAAAATATCTATATCTCTCGTAATTTCGTGGAAGAATTCTACTTTGGTTTTCATCTAAATTAACCAATCATAAAAATTCTACTTTGAAAGCCCGTAATTATTTTTTTATTGTCCAATCAATAGACCCCTTCTATTTTATTTTATTCTATTAGTAGTAACACTGTGTGATCGCCAGTCACTTGCAAAGAGAAGCCATGTATTGTCTTTGTATTTATCGGAGATATTGGAATAAAAAAAGGTTCAAATGAATCAAGAACAAAACTTAGAATAATACTCAAATTAGTCCTACATTTAGCAACTAATTATTTTACATTAATTGATTTTTTTACATACATCGGCCCCATATTAGACAAGGATAATAACACTACTGTAACTTGATCAACACAAATAACAGGTCGGTAAAGTTCGGATTTTTTCGGAAAAATGATAATCGATTATTATCGATAATCGCTGACAAATTCTTGCCGATAATCGATATTGAAATTTCATATCGATTCCCAGCCTTAACCAGAGGAATGACAAAGAGAATGACAGAGGTTCCTTTTATTATTCTCTGATATTCACCTGATGAACCTTGTCATTCTCTTCATCATTCATCTAATAAACCACTGTCAATCCCTTGTCATTCATCTTTTGAAACTTTAGTATCATTTTTGTCATTCATCTAATGAACGGCTGTCATTCCCTTTGTCATTCATCTGGTGAACCTGTGATTCCTTTTGCAATCCTTCCATTGAGCTCTTGTCATTATCTTTGTCACTCATCCTGTGAACCCTGTCATTACCCTTTTATTTATCTACTGGGGTTTTATCATTATGTTTGTCATTCATCTAATGATTTAGAGAACCTGCGATTCATTTTGTCACTTGTCTGGTGAACCCCTTGTGTCGGTGTAGAAGGGTGGGGGGCCTGACAAGGGACAATGTACATTTGGATAGGACAAAAAATAAGGTTATGTATAGGCCTACACATTGGCGTGTATGTAAAAGAACCCCTGATCGTAGGAATTCGATGTAAGGTAGGCTATAGTGCCGCTGTCCAGACAAAATTGCCTTATAGCACCACTGCATGGCATAGATAATGAATACATACATTGTCAAAACGTAAGGATTCAAAAACAAGCCAAAGGCTTATATTAATTTGTCTCCTTATTTATAGTTAATAAATATACTACACATACAATTGTAATATGTACATTTCAAATACAATTAACAGTATGGTATTTTACATTTACTATTAATCATAATTTAATAGTTTGTGTCACTTTCAGTGCCTTACCATTTCATAATACGCTTGCTTATGATGTTTTGAAGACGTCAGATGTATATTAACTGAAAAAGTAATTAATAACGTCTCCATTAGCCCAATCATTTCAGAAAAGAAGGATGTTAAACCCCATTTTATTTAATTCTAACTTAATGTGATTAGAGAAATTATTGTTTAGAAATTTCTTGGCTTTCGTTATTCAGATTATGGAGTGCAGGAAGCGTTCTATATATCATATAGTAACAACCCAGTAGAGTAGGGCGACCCTCGGATGTAGACTATGGTCGCGACTACAGTCTGAACCAGCACCCAAACGCAAATGGCCCTAGCCATTGACTATTCAATATGGTGGCGACCATGTCAGTTGTTCCGCCTGCTATATTTTCTCCTATTTACTCATGTATTTTTAAAAACTGGTTAATTTTCCATACTGCGAAGTGAAAGCAAGCTTAATATAGGTTACAAATAGGATTAGTCAATATCAGAATATTTTTCATTGGAATTATGTCACCCAACCAAATCACACGTACAGTTTTTTGTCGTGTGCCTTATATATTCGAATAAGAAGATCCTAATCTGTCAAATTCATCAAAAAAGACGAAAAAAAATCATATTTAACATCTATACTACAATGCCTATTCACTAACTTTCAGGCATTAACATGGGCCCTATAATAACGACCAAGGTGTAAATAACGCAACAGCAATCGGCAATTTTATTATATTTTTCAGAAAATCTTCTCAAGTGTCAGTTTTGTCAGCCATCTTTGAACTATATATCCCGACCGTGCTTTATCGGTGTGCCAGTGAAATCGTCCACAAGCAAAGTCGTCCACACCCGTTGGTGGAGTCGTCCACAAGGCATTGGTGATGTCGTCCACAACTATTGGTGATGTCGTCCACAACTAAGAATAAGAGTCATACACAATTTACTCGTACTCGAAATGCCGATGTTATTTGATTTCAGATTGTTTGATTAGTATTAACAATGTTTTTATAATAAAGTATATTCACGTTTTGTAATGAAGTATACTTGTATTGTTTGTATTAAAGTTAATCGTATTGTTGGATTATTGTATGATCCTTCTTTTCATGTTAGATTTTAGTTTGTTTTGTTAGATTTTAGCATTTTTGATTGTTTGATATTAGTATTAACGATGTTTGTGTAATAAGGTATATTCGCTTTTAATTGACGTTATGATTGTAACATTTTTGTTTGATTAGTATTAACGATGTTTTTGTAATAAAGTATATTCACATTTTGTAATGAAGTATACTTGTATTGTTTGTTAATTGGAGTTATGATTTTAGCATTTTTGTTTGTTTGATTAGTATTATCGATGTTTTTGTAATAAAGTATTGATTATTATTTGGCGTTATGATTTTAGCCACAATTTGTCTGAAGTTTAAACACACCGCCCATTGAAGATTAGCTAAATGCAACTCACTGTCATAATAATTGTAAAACGGCTTCATCAGAAGTTGGGTATATATTGACCTTAAAATTTAACAATAACATTCATTACCTTCATTAGTTCTTACTGATCTATATCATAAGCTCTAATTATTTACTATGGCTATTGGCTAGTATCTGTGTAGTTTGTTCCAAGGACTTTCGGCCTCGACACGAGGCATTGCAATGCGATGGTTGTGACCGCTGGCAACATCGCATTTGTCGTCAAATTTACGAGACCAACCCCAATATTTTGTAAGAGCAAGTTACTGATTAGCTAGTATTTAAGGCTGACCTTAAAAATATCTTTGTTTCGCCTAACGCGACCGACTAACTAAAACCACCCCCGACTTAAATTATTTTATTGCACTTTTCCACGATCTTTTTATTTTATTTTGTGTGTCAACCTGAAATATATCATGAGAGTTATTTCCCTTTACTATGGCTATGGTTTGATTCATTATTGAAACTGGTTGATCAAGACGAAAGCGTCATAGGTGTCGCTTCTCAACAAAATGGTTGCAGACGAATACACGTCCATTCCCACGAAATGATTCTGCTTCTATGTCTGTGGTGCATAGTTTTAAACATGACGACGATATTTTCAATATCCGTTTTCGAGAAAAATGAAGGCACAACCCGCAGTATCGTTAAAAACGTGTTGAAGGAGTTTCACACTTCAAGTTCGTGGCAAATCGTTTGCGAGTCGGGCATCACGAAAAATTCCCGATGTCATTCACTCATTTATTTTTTTGCCAATTGAATAAAGAAGACGAATGTTTCCACCCGGAAAATTATTAAGCTGTCAAATTAGCTCATAAGTTTAATAAAAAAACCTTTCAGTTCTTTACTTTTTACGTCAGATCCCAAATTCATTAAACAAAATCAATGAATCTGTAGTATACAGCTAATAAGTTTTCTGTATTGATTTCTCTAACTTTAAAAAAAAAATCTGAAAAAAAACCCCGACCTACCGACCCTTCTCCTCGATTGTGGGTCGAGTTTGGTGAAACAAAGATATTTTTAAGGTCAGCCTAATTAGCTAGTATTTAATTAGCTAGTATTTAATTGGTATTATTTTATATGTAAGTTTATATCAATGTATTCTTGTCTTCAGGTCTATAGGTGATACCGCGGTGACAAAGAAAGAAATTTGAGACAATAGCAGGGAAAATCTTTAAAATATGGGAATTGTATGAACAGGGGGAAAAAAGTGTATCGGGGCTTTTAAAGGACGTGGGTCGTTTGGTAGCGGTATAAAAATTCATTTGTGCATGGGGCTTGTTATATTAATGAACTTGTTATATTATTGAACTTGTTATATTAATGAAATTGTTATATTAATGAAATTGTAAATTGTTATATTAATGAAATTGTTATATGAAATTGTTATATTAATGAAATTGTTATATTAATGAAATTGTTATATTAATGAAATTGTTATATTGAATTTGTTAAATTTGTTTATGAAATTGTTATTTATTGAATAAAATGATTTACTTTGTTGTTTATATGCCGGGAGAAAGGGTAATCACGCAGAAAAACTATACTAATTAAGAATACCTTATGTGTCCCGAAAGTAAACTATGTTGTGTGGACAACTTCCAACGTATTACTATATATTTTCCAAAGTATTACTATATCCAGAAATTATACTCTAAGTCGTGTGGACGACTCCACCAACGGGTGTGGACGACTTAACCAGATTTTTCGTGTGGACGACTTTGCTTGGGGACGACTTGACTGGCATTCCTTTATTGCATGATACGGCTGGCAACGACCACTGATTGAACTAGGCCTAAATGTCATTCGCATGCAGATGGTTCGACGAAAATCCGTGCAACCGAAGGTCGCCTAGTGGATTCGATTCGAGTAAAACTAAGCCTATATTGTATATTTATATAGTTTCTTTCAATAAATTTGCCAAAAGTCTACCGCTGGCGCAGTTCTAAATAGTACAAACTCTAGACCGGTTATATTTCGTCATATACCTGATCTGATAAAGGTGAATGAAACCTTCACACTATTCCAATCCAATAATATCAAAGATTGTACGATTTATTACGTTCATAATAAATGCATCAAACTCATACTCTGCCGTAAAATGGTCTATGATATAACGCGTGAAAAGGTAAATAAACCGTCCATCGTGCTGTACTAGAATAAAGATACTGTCTTGGATTATCAAACTTGTCAATAGTAGATAAGAAGAGGTCTAGCTTTGTTTATTCTTTTCTTCAATTGATCAGTTTACAATAAAATTGACATGCAAAAGTGTCTAGAAATACAACAAACAATATTGCATTATTTACGACAACCCAAAACCACAACGAAGTCTAGATCACAATATTAGTTATTCGATGTTTGGAAATGTGAATGATCTTTTTACATCCTGTTTAGGTGATATTATGAATTAATGTAAAAAAATGTTCTATTTAAATGTAATTGTTTACAAATTACTTCAATCGATGGATATTTGAAATGTTGTAATAAGATATTTGAAAAATGTGAATTTGATTCCAAACGTTTAATCTTTAATAACAACACAATTTCACAAGGAGAAAGTCAAAGGGAAAAAGAGAAAAAAATATACAGTCCAGCATAATGCATTAAAGGTTCAGTATCAAATTAATATTTGACAATTGCAATATTTGTATACCTGTAGGCTATTGTACTTGAACAATTTTATTCCAGTAATTAAAATATTTTTGAAAATATAGCTTACGGTTCTCAGTAGGCCTACTCACTCACTGGAATAATCAGTCATTCCACTAGCCTATTGCATTAATGATTAGGCGTTTTTACGAGAAAACAAATCGGTTTCGATTACTATCTCGTTTTGTACAATGACATAGGTCTCGAGTTGGTATTCAAATCGGTTCGCGTAAACGCGATGAGTTGCCTCGCAAGATGGCTGAAGACTGAAGAATTGAGGAAAAATGTTTAAAAAAATTGCTTTTCTTTATTATGTTCTTGGCGACACCGCCCAAAAATAAAAACGAAAAGTTGTACCAGTTGACTGTCCCCAAATGCCCTGTATTTTTATTAGGAATGTCCATAATATTCATATTTTAACGTGAAATTCAAAAGAAAATGACCTAATGTCGGGCACGTCGTGTCCCTTGTTAGGGACGCCATCTTGGAAATCGACTCGTTAATCTGGCAAACGAGCAAGTTGGAAGATTTGCATAATCGATTTGGCCAATCGTCGTGGTAAATACGACAATTAGGTGAAACTGATTAGGCTAATTTTTGCCGTAAATGTGTTTGGAAAGGAAATGCAAATCGATTAGCCCTAATCGGTTTCTCGTAAAAACGCTTATTATCATGAACCTTTATATATAGTTATAATACATTTGTAAGGTCCATCCATGGTATTATTATCTATACATGTCATATGACAATAATAACCAGTATGTTATTGTTTAATTATTATAACAAGAGACTTACAATATTTCACATTAAAGCACTACTATGATTACTATGTCGATATGCTTTGAAACTAATAATAATATTAAACATTAAAACATATTTGTCATCAATATTACGCAACAAATAAGTCCTGCCCCATTTGTCACACACACAAAATTAAACAGTAAATTGTTCGGCAGAGAAAAATCCCCCGGAAAAATGAGTCAACCTCAACAAAACACTGTGATCATACAAGTAATACTAAAATGAAATGAATGGTTTAACGTCCTTCTTTACTACACCAACCAGGCTATATAAAGAAGGGCATATGAACCTGAGACTCCCTGGTATATTGACCCAGCATGTTATCCACTGAGTCACTGTGGTTCCTCTGTTTTCCCTGTTTTATTCTTTACATCCCACTTCTACCTCGTACAGGCATAAAAGTATCCGTGTATCAGAAATGAACAGTACGCTTTCCAGAAAGAGTACTGTTCATTTCCGACAAACAAACACTAACCACCTAGAAAGTCATAAATTTTATTACAAATAAATTTAAACTGACGAACCATCCGCCGATGCACACTTCAACTGGATTGACCGACGTTGTGCAGTGTCCTTTACATAAAGTTTAATATAATTGCAGTCCTCTACGCCAGGGACAAGTTGTTTTGACGATGTGACTGGCTCTATGTTCGCCGGCTTCATCAAAACAACTTTGTCTTTCAATACGGAGTGCAGTCTAAAAAAACATGTGACTGTTTTACGCTCAGGGTAACGCAGCAAGACGCACGTGTAAATACTATTCAGGTCGTTTCTCCACTGCGAAATCAGTCTACCACAAAATGTAATGTGAGGCACAGAAAGGGATAAATGAAAGAGCAGAAAGTATTTGTCACATTTCGCTTGACACGACTCGATAATAAATACTATTTTTTCACATTTCGCTTCACAATACTCGATAGAAATGTGATGTAAGTGACTTATTAGCACCTTTCCTCGGTGTATCGGTGAAGATCAGGACAGTTTTGGTCGGGGGCCGGCTCGGCTGGGCCCCTCGACCAAAACTGTCCTGATCTTCACCGATACACCTTGGAAAGTGTGCTATAACTACTACATAACTACGACTCGATAATAAATACTATTTTTCACATTTCGCTTCACAATACTCGATAGAAATGTGATGTAAGTGACTTATTAGCACCTTTCCTCAGAACCTATGATGAATTTTAACGTTAGTGGTAATGATTTTTTATGATAATTTAGATAGTACAGTATATTTTGAGATTTGCATGTAGTTATAGAATAAAAACAGAACTCAATGACCATTGAATACCGTTCGGGTTATTCAATGGTTCACTCGAGTGTATCCCTGCCGCATTCCACTCGCTATCGCCCGATGGACAACTTGCGCAGGGATATACTCTCTTGAACCATTGAATAACCCGAGCGGTATTCACTGGTTATTGAGTTCTATCTATCTATTGTATTGAAAGGGTAACCAGAATGGTACAACACATCAGCTTCAAACCAAGGACCCAGCATCTACATTATGGCAGGTGCATGTTAGGGTAGCATGTCCAGAGGGATTGTGGGAGGGGAGGTTCCGGAGGGTACAATACGGGTACATTATTTACTGGTACAATATTTATTGGAAGATGACATAAAAAATAGCCATTACCATGTTCAGTTTAGTACAGTATATTAGTTGTTCTTGCTGAATCACTTGTTGTAGAATTCAACAATAAAGAAAGTGGGGGTGAGGGTAGCATTGTTGTAATTAATTCACAAACATGTGGAAATGACACAATAAATATTTTACTATGAAAAAATGTTGATTTTACCACCAAAAGAGATGTAATTTTTGTTATTATTGTTATTTGTGTGTTGTTTTATTTGCATTCAATCAAGCTCTTAATATACAAGTACATGGCATCTAACCTAGTTTTTTTTTATTTAATATATGTATATTTATGCATATAGATGAACAATTCCCAGATCTAAATTAATAGTCCAGTGGCGGAAGGGTGAGAATCGCCACCAGAGCTGTGAATTTATGAGACCAAGTTTTTTTAGACCAGTTGTTGGCATAGATTCTGAATCTGTGTGGTGATCAGGTGTTTGAAGGTTTGTTTTTGAGATATGGGGGGTCCAATGTCTACAATTGGGGGGAAATATGATTATGTTAACATAAATGATGATCATGTTATATATTAATAAAACATAATTTCTAAATAGGTGTATAACATGCCCCTGGACAGCTGTTTTGATTTGTGGGATGGGGTATTGGAGGTGTGCTTGTGTGCAAGAGAGGGGGAGGGGGGGGGGAACTGGCGGATAATGAGTTTGCGTTGATATAAAGGATGATTTGCTTAGAGCTGCACATCTTTAAGTATGTGTATAAGAAGATTCCCATTGTGTGTGTGTGTGTGGGAGGAGGGAGGCAAAATGTATTTTTGGGGAAAGGAACCACTTGGTTCAAAATTGACATGAAAAGTCGTTAGCTTTTTCATTTAGTCATTTAGTACCAATTTCGTCATTCAAAATATTACATTATAATGGTACTTTTCAAGAAATCTGGAAATGTAAATAAAAAACAGCAAAGTAAACAAGAGACATATTTAGATATTAGTTTATTCTTATAGTCTTCATCAGAAGATTTAAAATCAAAGTTCATAACATGCTCAGGATAAATATATTTTTAGATGACTGATCAGCAGCTTGCATATATCCTTTAGATATGCTTTAGATACCCATTCACATTGTAAATCTTTATTCCAGCCATGCATCTCACAGTCATCTTGTTTGATCATTGGTTTTGCAGCTTGTCTCCATATTGTTGCAGCATATCTACATTGAGCTAGTTAGTTTGTTCCACCCTGTCTTCATTAGCAATATCAGTGCCGAAAAATCGGATGTTAAACCCCATTTCATTTCTTTTCGGTTTGTTATGCATGACTGTCTTTTGTTTGTTATATCTCTTATTTGTAGGGATTATTATGGGGAAGAAAAACGGCTTGCACTGGATAAACTTTATAAAATCCACAGACAATATTGTGTGAATTATTGAATGAGACTTAAGGAAGATATGCAGGTTGTAAGAGCTCATGCATGTCTCAACAGACCATCTTTCTTTACTAATAAGCATAATGCAATCACAAACAAGGACCAATATATATGTACAAAATTAAAATACCAAAATGTAACAATATAAGATACTACTTATCACTTACATGTATCATATCCAGATTTAGTTACGTTTGGATTAATGTTAAAGGAGTTAAACCTCTAACTCAATATTATTCATAATCATCAAAATTTACAAAGAGAAAATTAGAATCAATAATGATGTTATTATCTTACCATGAAAATATTGGATCCTCATATCAACAACTATTTGAGACACAGTAACATTTTAATGGTTTTGAGCACCATTTGTAATGGAAAAAGAACAAACATATCAGAGAAGACAACCTGGAAGAAATTAAAAATGGTTGATTCACAAGCGAAAGAATTTAATAAAAAAAACCCTTGTAGAATGGATTAAGCAGGCAGAATTTGGACTGTTGCGTATTTCACGGAGCATAATTGATTAGAAACAACATTTTTATTATACGCCCACATTCAAATATGGTCGTATATTGTCGTCGCCCCCGTCCACATCATATCATCATTGTATTTTTAAATCATAATATATATTTTTATAACCCATGTCTCTGTAAAGCGCGTTGAGACTTTGCCATGCATTTTTAGTGATATTTATGTTATGTTTGTAGAATGCGCTATATTAAGAATGTATTATTATTATTATTATGTCCGTCCGTTGGTCCGGCGTCCACAATTGCTTGTGGACGCTCTAGAGGCTAAAGTTAATATCCGATTGACTTTAAATTTATACACAGTGTTTAAGGTCATCAGATGATAAAGCCTATTGATTATTAATGATTTCCGATAATTACTGCAAGAGTTATGGCCCTTGATCACTTTCAAATATATTGTGGATGCTTTAGAAGGTAAAGTTAATATCCGATTGACCTTAAATTTATACGCAGTGTTTATGGTCATCAGACAAAAACACCTATTGATTTTCAGCGATTTCCGATAATTACTGCCAGAGTTATGGCCCTTGATCACTTTGAAAAATCTTGTGGACGCTCTAGAAGTCAAAGTTAATATCCGATTGACTTTAAATTTATGCACAGTG